CTATTATAATAATCTATTATAATAATCTATTATTATTCCCTCCTGATAATATATATGAATCGTTTCGGAAATTCATGTAATTATTGAAAGGAATCTGTAGTGTCTTTGGTTTAGACAGCAATCAGGCCGTCTGTAGTGGCTGTGGTTTAGAGAGCAATCTGTACATTTCTCAGCAATGCAGTCATGTTCGTCGTGAAGGTGTGACTTTGTAATGCTTCTTCAAACTTTTTCGGTAACGTTATGAGATTAACTCGCATATCGATCGCGAAATTTCAAAAGAGCGAGAGAGAGAGAGGGAAAGAGAGTCAGTGAGCGAGAGAGAGAGAGAGAGTGAGCGAGAGTGAGAGAGGTGTGGGGGGGGGGCGTGTGCGTGTGGGAGAGAGACAGAGACAGAGAGAATGAACTTGGGGGGATTCCTCAGGGAAATTAAGTTTCGCATTGATTAGCCAAAATTGTACCATATATCTGCCAGGAATCCTCTTCATTTGATTGTTCGTTCGTTTGTTCATTCATCCCGATCTCAGTGTCTCGCTCTCTTGCTCTCATGACAGGATCCTCAGTTCCCCAGCCAGGCGTCACTGTGGAAAGACAAGATGGCCACCTCTCCGGGACGCACCTCTCCATCCGCCTCCTCCCCCGTGCGACCCTCCCCCCAGGCTAAGTGGAGTCCGGTAGCCACCACACCGCCCTCACCGCTGGGTAGGTCTGTCTCGCAGGTGTCCGCTCAGACGAAGATGGAAGGAGGCAGCGCGGCGGAGGAGCGTAGATCTCTCCAGGGGGCACCACCGCTGCCAGCGAGGCCGGCAGCCGCAGGTGAGTGAGATGATGACGGTGCTTCGTACCTTGCTGTACGATATTATCCTAATTACCCTCCTCCCTATATACTACCCTTTAGAACTCTCCTCCTACTCGCATTGTCTCCCGTTCTCTCTCCATCTTTGTCTATTAATATATCAATCTATCAATCTAACTGCATATCTATCTATCTGTATATCTAGTTATCTGTACATCTATCCCAGATATGACGGTTGCTAACAGGTGCTAGTTAACGTCTAGACATTACCTGTCCGCAGTCTTGATAACTATCTTCTCTTTAATCTCTTAAGAAATTAACCATCTATCTTCTAATATTAATATTCATAAACAAATGAGGATATGTGAATGCTGCCATGTAGGTGGCGCTGCATGTACATACACATGCACAGGTGGCGCTGCATGTACATACGCATGCGCAGGTGGCGCTGCATGTACGTACGCATGCGCAGGTGGCGCTGCATGTACGTACGCATGCACAGGTGGCGCTGCATGTACATACACATGTGCAGGTGGCGCTGCATGTACATACGCGTGTGCAGGTGGCGCTGCATGTACATACGCATGCACAGGTGGCGCTGCATGTACATACGCGTGTGCAGGTGGCGCTGCATGTACATACGCATGCGCAGGTGGCGCTGCATGTATATACGCGTGCGCAGGTGGCGCTGCATGTACATACGCATGCGCAGGTGGCGCTGCATGTACATACGCATGCGCAGGTGGCGCTGCATGTACATACGCA